TGAGAGATGAAAAGCTTACCTCGTATTTGGCGAACATGCAAATAACATGGCACTTTAATCCGCCAAGCGCACCACATATGGGTGGTTATTGGGAGGCAGGGGTGAAGCGAGTAAAATACCACTTAAAGCGTGCTCTCGGTAGCTCTTTATTAACATACGAAGAACTTGCTACGCTTTTAACGGAGGTGGAAGCTTGTGTCAACTCGCGACCGCTCTATTGGCACTCTGCTAGTGCTGATGATTTGGAAATCCTCACTCCTGGTCATTTCTTGATTGGTGAGCCAATCAAGGCGCTGCCTGAACCTGACACCGAAAATTTCTCAGGGACCTTACATCAACGATGGCAAGCCATTAGTGCAATGCGGCAACATTTTTGGTCACGTTGGCGAAACGAATATGTCGTCAACCTACAACAACGAGATAAATGGTTTCGCTCCTCCTCGAACCTGAAAGAAGATGATGTTGTTATCATTCACGATTCGAAGAGCCCACCCACTAAATGGCGACTTGGGCTTGTAACTCAGTGTCATCCTGGTGCGGATGGACTGGTACGCGTAGTAAAGCTCAAGACGGCGGACGGAGAATTGGTGCGGCCTATTGCGAAACTGACGCTTTTGCCAACGCAAAATGATATATTTACTTTGTAATATTTGTACGATCTTGATAGATACTTATGCAATTTTGAAACTTGAATTTAATTTCGAACTTAACCCAGTCGTTCAAGGCGGCCGGTATGTTCGTGCCCATATGGCAACTCTATTTTGCTTTGTTATTCCAATGGAATAAGGGAAAATGGAATGTAAATAGTAAGAAAGTAAAATGTCATTAGTTAATATTCGCTTTTTATCTATCGTTGTAACCCGCTGTATAATTGAATAAACCGCTTTTAAAATCGAATATAATCCGCTTTTATATCACCCGCTTTCGTGTAACCCGCATTTATTTGCGTACAATCGGACTTTTACAATAATACGGTTTTTCGCTTTTGTACGCAACAATAATTTCAAAGCTAAGCAAAAGCAAAAATAGTAGTGCTGTTGCTTCTTTGCTGACAGTTTTTCAAACCCTGGATTAAATCACCTCTTTTAGTAATTTATTTAACTTGACTTATTTATTAACTTAATTTATTAAACTTAATAATTCATTTAAATTTAAAATTTTCAACAGCTGACAACTCTGTTCAAACCATCAAACAAACATTTGATGTTTAAACTGAAGATTTCTTAGCACTCTTTCGTTTCGTTTAACACCCATACTGCATATAACTAAATTCGGCTTTTAAAGCAGGTGGCAACCCTTTTCAAAACATTTTCAAATTACTACCTTTTTAAACTCCTTTAGCCTAGACCCCTGTGGGGAAACTTTTTGTGAATAACCTATTTGTTTTTGTTATTTTATGTTCTTATAACAATTATATTCAACAATTTTTATGGCCGTTTTTTTAATCAAAATTTATTGTGGAAAAGCAACAATAATTTGAAAAAATTGTAGAAGTGATATCTATTTCGACGATCCCACTGACTTAGCCAGTTGCCTACGCACTGTGCTAAGTTCGCCTTGTTAATTCTTGTTGCTTATTTCACTATGTAGTTGGCTTAGCATGTGAAATATTAGAAATAAGCAACAAGAATTCACAAGACGAACTCAGCACAGTGCGTAGGCAACTGGCTGAGTCAGTGGGATCGTCGGATCGAATCCTACTTAGTTTGATTTTTTAAAAAGGAGCTCACAGTTAAGAAGAAAAGCTTTTAATAACCATTTCGACTGATACCTATGGCAACTCTTTTCAAAAAGTAAAACCTCATTGCATATCTGCAACCAGGCCTTTTAATTTGTCACCTCATTTTTGAAAATCGAGCGAAGGATGGGGATATGATGGTATTGATTTATAAATAATCTCAACTTTATTTTTTAAAATGTGGCCATTCTTTCCGGAAAAGTAAAATCGTACTGCACATCTACATATCAAGCCCTTTAATTTGATACCTCATTTTTGATAATCAAACGAATGGTTCAGATCTGATGACCTGGACAAAAAGTCCTTTCGCGTATTATATATAAAGACATAGTTAAGTTCGACTTTTTAAACAGCCCATTTGAAAAGTAGTATCGCGCTAAGATATTCTTAAATATTCTTCGTCTAATATTGTGATACATATTTTAATCAACTGATGAACATGTGGCAACTCCGCTAAATATAGTTCAGAAATAAAGATTTTTCAACCCCCCTTCGATTGATACCCATATTTTAATAATTCATTTAACTTACTTAATAATCTGAATTTAATTTTTAAACAGGTAGCAACCCTCTTACAACACCTCAAAAATATTTTGTTTGTTCAAACTAAAGTCTTCTTAATATTCTTTCGTTTCACATCATTATTTTTACATTTCATATAACTTCTGGATAAGGTAATTAAATTCGACATTGCAAGAAGGTAGCAACCCTCTTCAAAATATTTTCAAACGGCCACCTTCTGAAGCCCCTTTCGTTATGCGCCCATATGTTGAAACATATTTCTCCTAATTAATTTTCTTAATTCAAATTGAATTTAATTTTTTAAACAGGTGGCAACCCTCCTAAAGTTAAGTTAAGAAACAAATATTTTCAAAACCATTTCCACTGATACCCATTTTGTAACAATTGATTTTTAAACCTTTCACCAGCACACCCGGCGAACTTCGTCCCGCCCAAAATTTTTACATATTTTAATGAAACTTTTTGGTCCAACATTTTCACCAACAATTCACGTTTACGATTTGCATTGGCACATTCGTCTGCTAAGATTGTGGTTTGCCGCTTTAAATAACCTAAGGAAAGTGTTATGCAATTACGCAAATTTGTGTTATTTCCAAATTGAATGTGAAATAACACAAATTTGCTTGATTCCATTTCTCCTTGAGCAATAAGACCAACTTTATACTTAACAATTTGAGTAATAAAGCAAACTAGTGCACATATGTAGGTAGTCACCCAGTTACATTTGACAAAACTACGAACAAGTTAAATGGACGGATTTGTAAGTACACAATTTTGAAAGTGCCCGGCATCGCGGCGGTCCGCCACCCCGCGCTCGCGTCCCCCGCCCCAACTCCTTTCGCAATTATGTACTGGTGGCATTATAACCGTTTAGAAAAAGGAAACATGATAAAATAACACTAGTTCGCTTCTGAAACTGCTTTTTAATGTCCAAGTAATGGGAATTATTGTGTATGGTGTTATTGCATGCTGCATCCCACCCATAGTGGAATTTACCAGGTGCCACTGCTTTATTTGAAAATTTACCTATAAAATATGACTATAAGGCAGCCGAATGTCAGAAAATAAAGCGAGAAAGCCGTTTTATTACTTCATCTGTTTATTACGACATGGTTCCATGCAAACATTTTAAGGTTTTCCAGCAATGTTTTTAACAACATATTAAAAAGCATGCAGAAAAAATTCATACAAAAGCGCTATGTCCAATATGCGGAGCAGTTTTTAAAGACGATGCTTTTCCTATATTTTGTTAGACTTTTCATAAGTAAAAATATTTTGTGAATATTACTTTCTTCATATGAATTATATAAAATTTTTTGTTTAATTCAAGGCCTATCAAACAGGTTTAGAGCATTTGAGCAAAACAACATTTGCCTGTATTTTGTTGTTGCTTCTGGTATCGAAGGTGCCTAAAACTGTTCTGATTTTTTTCTTCTACATCAAAGCGTGCCATGCGAAATACGAAAAAGGTAAAAAATTTAAATAGAAAAAATGAAAATTGTTGCAACTTTCTTTCTTAGTAAATTTGTTCGCTTCTCGAAGCAGTGATCCACCATCCTGTGCCAGGCCCAGTAATCAGCGGTTGTGCTGCTGAGTTGGGCGAGCTTTCCAAAAGCTGCTATTTAATCGCTGGTTTTGTATGGAAAATGTTTCACATGCAAATAGATTTTAACAATTTAGAATTTTT